CTACAATGGAAACAGACTGTGCAACTATCTATATAAATGCAACCAAAGTCAGGTACCAAAGCAGATTCCAACAGTCATCAAGAAACTAAACAGGAGCTGAGTGTGGTGGTTACACACCTATAATCTCAACACTGAGAGGCTGAGGCAGGAAGATCACAAATTCCAGCCCGGCCTGGGAAACTCAGGGACTCAGTGAGATCCCCATCTCAAAATTTAAAAAAATTTAGGGAGGGATGGCCGGGGATTTAGCTCAGTGGTGCCTAGCTCAGTGGTGCCACCGCCTCCCTTGCAAGCTCCCTTGCAAGCGGAAGGGCCTGAGTTCAATCCCTGATACCAAAAACAAACAAACAAAAATTTTAGGGAGGGTGAGGCAGAGTGGTACATAAGGAATAAAAATGATCCAGATAGATGTATATGTATCAAAAGCTGAGTATAATTACTACGTATTGCAAACATATAATAAAAAATAGAAACCAGGTGTGGTGCCACACACCTGTTACCCAGACCTTGGGAGGCTGAGGCAGGAGGATCCTCACAAGTTCAAGCCCAGCCTGAACTATGGGTGAGACCTTATCTCAAAAAGTCAAAAAATAAAATAAAATAAAATAAAATAAAATAGGCTGGAGATGTAGCTCAGTACAAAAATTCTAGGTTCATCAATCAATCAATCAAACAAAAACCCAAACAGGCTTTTCTCTTCTCAGTCAGAACACATTCTCCATGATTCTGAGAAAATGCACTCTCCCTGTGATCTAGCAGCATTTAAATAATTTTTTAAAAAGGAGCTGGTAGGGCCGGGGATTTAGCTCAGTGGTTCTGGCGCCTGCCTCTCAACCGCAAGGTCCAGAGCTCGATCCCCGATACCAAAAAAAAAAAAAAAGGACCTGGTATCACACGGAACAAGAATGTGATCCAGTCACTGAACAATGCCTGACTGAGAAGACCTAAGCACTGCATGTCCAAAACTTAGTTTCCACACCAGCACTTCCTCCCCCATGCACTGCCCTTTGAACGAGCCTTCAAAACAACTGTGCCATGCGCCCCATTACCACCTGCCATCCCAAGGGCAGACCAGGAGCACACTCACGTGGCCTTGGCATTGCACCTGCTGAGGGTCATTTCTGCACCCAGTGCTCCTCAGCAGCGATTTGCTCTCCTCACAGAAAGCCCCATGGGATTTGGTCCAAGTCCATCCCACCAAAGGTGTCTGTCCTTGGAAAAATGCAGGCTGAGGCCACTCTCCACCAATGCATCATCCAAATGGGACGGGCTGCTCTCACCCCTCATTCCTGCAGTGCTTCCAAGCTAATCACCAGGGTCAATCTGCTGCCCCAGAGCATCCCAACTCAGGCTCAGGGGACTCACTGAATGAGGACACACACTGAAAAGGGGGACACACGTGTCCAGGAGCCACCTAATTCTCTCCTCTGAAACCCTGCTGAAAGCATACTAGAGGCTAGAACCTGACTCAAGAAGCTACCCACATCTCTTTCAGACCCATCTCTGCAGGCTGCTGCTGTGATCCTTTCTACTAAAATGCATGTTAAAAACAGCAGAACAGTCAGGTGTGGTGGTGCATGCCTGTAATCCCAGCACTGAGGCAGAAGGACTGGAATGACTTTGAGGGCAGCCTGAATTACAGAGTAATACTGTCTTAAAAACTTAAAAAAATTTTAAAAAGGCAGAACAGCTGGGCATGGTGGTACACATGTGTAATCCCAGCACTTTCCCAAGACTGAGGCAGGAGGATTACCAGGGCAACTTAGCAAGATTCCATCTAAAAAGAAATAAGGGGCCAGGGATTTAGCTCGGTGGTACCACACCTGCCTTGCAAGTGCAAGGTCCTGAGTTCGATTCCCCAATACCAAAAAAAAATTTTTTTTTTAATTAAAGAAATAAAAGTTCTGCGGATATGGCTCGGTGCATAGGCCCTGGATTCAATCCCAAGTACTAGGGAAGGGGGAAAAAAAGTACAACAGGCCTTCATTTCTATCTTTTATTAGCATGGGGACCTCCTCACCTTACCAGTTTAGTAAATACTATAAGAGCATCACTGGACACAGAAATGAATCATGCACCATGCAACATGAGGGGGAGCTACCAAAGAGTGTGATAACTGCAAGCCATTTCTTTCACTGCTGTCTGCCTTCCCATCACCTTCCCCCAAGGATGCAGCACCCCTGCAAATTATCAAGCACAATAAAGCAGGAACCTGCTCTGTCCAATTCAATTCTCCCTTTAACAAAACCACTTGCAGAGGCCAGGGATTTAGCTCAGTGGTTCCACCACCTGCCTCACAAGTGCAAGGTCCCAAGTTCGATCCCCAGTACCAAAAATAAAACAAAACAAAAACCACTGGATACTCCTTTTTCTAAAGGGATGATTTCAGGGGATTTAGCTCAGTGGTGCCGAGCCTGCCTCACAAATGAAAGGTCCTGAGTTCGATCCCCAGTACTGAAAAAAAAAGTTCAAAGGGATGGTCCCAAGCTTCACTCCAGCAGAGCATCAACCCTCAATGAGGACAAACCAGAGCTTCTTTCCAAACAGCTGCTTTCTGACAGCACATGGCTAAAAGAGGCCTCAGGGGTCATAGAGTGCAGCCATCTGCGAAAAAAATGTATGTTATCCTTCCATATGAAGATGTTTCTCCTGCTCCAGCACAGCATGGTCAAGACACTCAGGCTTAACCCTTGTAAAGACACCCTGGGCACTGGCACCAAGGACTTCCTTATCCCAAGTGCTAGGCTCAGATGCCTGGCAGACCTTCCCTTGAGAGCTCCTAACCTAAGGGGCAGGGTGATAGCAGGGTCTTTGTCAGATTGCACTCTGCTACTTATAAGGCAGGTACTTAACTTCTTTTACCTCAGTTTCTCCACCTGTAAAATGAGAACCATAAAGGCCGGGAATTTAGCTTAGCGATTAAGGACCCAAGTTTGATCCCCGGTCCAAAAATAAAATGGGAACCACATCTACATCACAAGATAATATGCATGAACTACACAGTAAAGTATCTGCCTTCAAGTAAGGGCTTGATAAATGAGACTTATATCCTCTGCCCCACCTTAGTGGCCCACCTAGCCCTAGACTAGGCCATTTTCCACCTTTCCCATTTGTACTGCTCCCCCTGTTGGCTGTTACAAGTGTAAAGGCTTATGTGAAAACTGGGACAAGGGTCTTCTCAAGCAGTTCATGTGTGCCAACTTAAAGTCCAGATTCAAACCCACTTCAATCATGCACTATTGGTCCTCAAGTGAAAACTCAATACTGGGACTAATTGTGCCATTACTGACAAAAATATGGCAAATTTTCTCACACATCATGTCAGGGACACTAGGTGGCCCCTAGGTTCCCTTACTTCCTTACATGGAAGTCCAGCCTCTACTCTGTAATTCGTTTCTGCTTGCTAGATTCCTGTATTTTTACATTTTAAAAAGCTGACTGGTTGGGGCCGGGGATTTAGCTCAGTGGTTCTGCCACCTGCCTCACAAGCACCAGATACCGAGTTTGATTCCCAGTACCAAAAAAAAAAAAAAAAGCTGCCTGGTACAAAGCAAACTGCAGAAATCATATTTCCATCATTTGGAAGTGCCAAGGACACAAAGAAAGAGTGCTCTTTTCCTCTTTCACCAACACCATCAAATACACACCTTGCACTGCAGCAACAATACTGTGTGAGAGTTCACTTTATAAACTTCATGACTGTTGCTCCATCTCTACTAAGTTTCACCAGCAGCCTAATTTGTGTTTTTTTCATGCTAGCCCAAGCCCCTCACCTCCCAGCGTAGAGCCATAGGTGCTGTAAGAATCAAAGACATCCCTTTTGCCTCTCATCATTTCTCTCAACTGGACTTTGGGTTAATTATCACTCATCTCTACAATACAAAGTTGTAACCTAAAGTCCATGGGTGAGCTGCAGAAGGCTCAAGAGCCTCCTGAAGTAGTTACAAAATTCTATACAGCTGTGTACACTTCTCTAAAGACGACCTGTCCTAAACCTTCCCACAAATTCCCAAAGGGCTCAAGACCCTCCAAAAACATTAAGAAGCCCTACCACAAAACTGAATTCTGAAAGATAAGGAGCTAAGTAAGCTTTTTGGCTCTTCAATGAGTTTTGTCATTTTTCTTCTTGTTGTTTAATTGTTGCTGTTGATTTTGGTTTTTTCTGGTGCTGGGGGATGAACTCAGAGCGTAACCCCAGCCCGAGAATTTACTTTTTAACCAAATATTGCTAGCTGTGTTGACATTCTCTATCGCCCACTTCACAAGATATACATGGTTCCAAGACTTCAAGACTTAAAAAAGGGAAGATATAAAAACATTAAGGATACTTTTAGCAACACAGAGAAACATAGAAACATCTCTTCCAACAAGTGGTTGTTTTGGTTTTTTTCCCCCAAAAAAATCCCTCCTCCCTGTCAAGCTCTCGCTCCCCTCGGTGAGGCCTCAGGGCCCGGCCTGCCGGAGCTTCCCACCTCACTGAGCAGTGGGAATAGCAGGAGGGGCACTCAAATGCCTTGGCTGAGAAAAGAGTACCCTAGGATCCCACGGCACCTCAATCAAGAATTTGGAGCATCAGGTGCCTAGGGGAGGATCCCGCACCTTCTGCTTCCCAGGACCCCGGTTCAGGTGAAGACCTGGACCGGCTCCTCCGCAGACGCTACCGCAAGGTAAGCACAGAGACTGCCTCCAGACAAAACCGAGCAGAAAACAAACTTTCCAGGCGCTTCCACCCCGCCCGGCGGGGTGACACCTCCCAGCCTCCTCCGCCCTCCGCGCTGTCAGAGCCCCAGCTGCCCGGCGACCGGCGCAGCCAGGCCCTGGGTTCCCTACTGCGGTCGAAAGGCGTCCCCGGACGGCCCCCACGGTCCAGCCCGCCAGGCCGGCCGCAGGTGAGGCGCCGCCCGGGCCGAGGCACCCGGCCGCCCCGCCTCGCCGGACCTGGGTTGGCGCCGCGTTCGCGAATAACGGGGCAGCGAGCCCCACCGCTGCCGCGCGCTCACCAGCTGGCTGGTGGTCCTGGCCATAGGCCCAGCGTCGGCGCGGGCGCCTCCCCCACAGCGCTGCACTCCTCTGAGCCTCCTCAGCGTCCTCCTCCCCGCGGCGGAGCCCCAGCAATGGCCGCCCTCATCCTGTGCCCGCCCCGCCGTCCGCCGCCCGCCACCCCCGGCACCGCCCCGCCCCCGCACGACGCTGGGTTGGACTTCCGCCGCGCCGCTGCCGCCTCCCAAGCCAATTGGCCATACCCACCGTCGCTCGTCGCGGGCCGGGCGGGCCCCGCCTCTATCCCTAGTCACATTTCCGGATTTGGGCCCGCCCCGGCAGGGGAGGAGGACACCACACGAGCCAATCCCGGACCGTGGGGGGCGGGGAGGGGCGGGGAGGGGCGGGGCGGGCCGAGCTGAGCTGTCATCCTCGCTCCTAGTCCGGGAAACTGAGGCTCGGTGCCCGCCTGGCCAAGGTCACGCCCGAGGCAGCGGTGGGGCTGGGCTTCGATTTGGAGTCGGCTTGCCCTGCATGCACGCCGAGGAGCGATATAACGAGTTCCACGGACACGCATGATCACGGAGACTTGAGCTAACCCTCATTCATGAGGCGGAAACGCACCGGCCTTAGCTTTGTCCAACAGTCTCGGTGCCACTCTCGGAATTTTGGTTTTGCCTGTAAATGTTTAACGAATTTCCTTTTTCTTATTGGTTATTAAAGTTAATTAGGGTAATGGACTTTTTTTTTTTTTTGAGATAGGGTCTCGCTATGTATTCCAGGCTGGCCTTGAACTCACTATGTAGCCCAGGCTGGCCTCAAACTCGCAGGGATCCTCTTGCCTCAGCCTTTCGAATGCAGGGATTACAAGCGTGCACCACCATGCCCGCCCATGATGATGTTTTTCGTTTGTTGTTGTTGGGTTTTTTGGTACCGGGGATCGAACTCCGGTCCTTGCGCTTGCGCAGCAGGCCAGGCGGCGGAACCACTGAGCTAAATTCCCGCCCCAAATGTTTCTTTTCTTTTTTTTTTTTGGTACTGGGGATCGAACTCAGGTCCTTCCACTTGCAAGGCAGGCGCCAGAACCACTGAGCTAAATCCCCAGCCCTCTACTTTTTTAATTTTTTATTTTTTTTGTTACCCGGGATAGAACTCAGGTGCAATTTCGCAGCAGGCGGCGAAACCACTGAGCCAAATCCCCGGCCCCTGACCCCAATGTTTTTAAACAAAATTAGGATCATCCTTTTACCTACAGGTTTGAATTACAGTATTTTTATTTTAGGTTTTTGATGTTGAAGATTGAGCCCAGGGCCTCACACATGCTAATGCTAAGCACACACTTTACCAATGAGCTCTATCCCTGACCCACACATATTTTTAAATGATTTTTTTTCCAAAAGTAATACGTCTTTTTTTAAAATAAAAATCTTGCTGCAAGTGGTAGGGTACAGTAGTTATTAGGGAGGCTGAGGGAGGAGGATCACAAGTTCAACCTCAGCCAGGGCAATTTAGCTACAGCCTGTCTCAAAATTTTTAAACCAGGCATGGTGGCACATGCCTGTAATCCTAGCGCTTGGGAGGCTAAGGCAGCAGGATCACCAGGAGTTTGAGGCTAGTGTGGGCTATGTAGTGAGTTCAAGGCCAGCCTGAACTACATACCAAGACCCTGCCTCAAAGAGGAAGAAAGGAGGGCCAGGGATTTATCTCAGTGGTTCCGCTGCCTGCCTCGCAAGCACAAGGACCCAAGTTCAATCCCTGGTACCAAAAAAGAAAAAAAAAGAAAACACAAGAAAAACTACTGCTTAGGGGCCGGGGATTTAGCTCATTGGTTTCGCCGCCTGCTGCGCAAGCACAAGAACCCAAGTTCAATCCCTAGTACCAAAAAAAAAAAAAAGGGGGAGGAAGGAAGGAAGGAAGGAAAAAAAGTGCAGGGGTGCAACTCAGTGGTAGAGCATTTGCCTAGCATGTGTAAGGCTCTGTGTTTAATTCCCAGTACTGTGAGAAAATAAAAATAATGAAAATATAAACCCAGGGGCCAGGGATTTAGCTCAGCAGCACCACACCTGCCTTGCAAGTGCAAGGTCCTGAGTTCAATCTCCAGTACCAAAAAAGAAAATGTAAACCCAGATACAGTAACAAGCACCTGTAGTCTCAGTAATATGAGAGGCTGCAGCAAGAGGTTGGCTTGAGCCCAGAAGAACAGCATGGGCAACATAGCAAGACCCCATCTCAAAAAATTGTGTGTGTGTGTGTGTGTGTGTGTGTGTGTGTGTGTAAACTAATTCATAATCTTATGTAAGCCAAATAAATTACTAAACAGCTATAACAGACACTAACATCTATTCAGAACTTACTCCAAGAGATTCTCATTCCTAATCTCATTTACTCTAAACAAGCATCCCTGATATTGTTGCCCCACTTTTGAGAGGAAAAAAACTGAGGCACACGGGATCAATTCTGCCTCTTGCCAAAGGTCACGCAGTTCCAAGACTGTGATCCAGACATCCACATGCCAAAGCCTGTAAATCAAGGCCTAGACTAGATAGTCTCTGGACTGTCCAGGCTTCACTCCTCTCTACTTTTAGAGACTTTACAAAACAACAACAAAGGCTGGATGTGGTGGCATACACCTGTAAATCCCAGCACTTTGGGAGGCTGAAGCAAGAGGACTGCAATTTCCAGCCTATCCTGGGAAACTTAATGAGACCCTATCTCAAAAATAAAAAAATAAGGGCCGGGGATTTAGCTCAGTGGTTTCGCCACCTGCTGCGCAAGCGCAAGGACCGGAGTTCGATCCCCGGTACCAAAAAAAATAAAAATAAAAATAAAAATATAAATAAATAAATAAATAAATAAAATGCCTGGGGATGTATATCAGTGTGAAGGTCCTGGGTTCAATCCCCAGTACCAAAAAAAAGAAAAGAAAAAAATTGGCTTGAGAGATTGCTAACCATTTTATTTGACTTACTTTATTTTTCCAACCTTTTGAGAAAGATGCTCAATATTCATTACCATCAAACATGTGAAGCAATTTGCCAAATAGTACACTAAACATTGAACACAAATATACATAACTATAGGGATTATATATATTTCACATACCCATATTTCACATAACCCAGAAGGTTACTGAAGAATGTGCTCTGCCAAATAAGAAAGTAACCCCCACCTCTGCCAAAAAAAAGACATAAGAAGGAAACAGAAGCAAAGACTGCCCAGGAGCATAGTGAAGTCGCAGAATTTGTCCATTCAACCAATGTTCATTGAGCCCCTCCTCTATGCCAAGCCCTGCACTGGACACGGGACACAGTTCACAAAACAAAAACCTCTAACATTATGAAATGCCAGTACTACTGGCAGGGGTAAGAGAAAGCAAGCAAGCACAGTAAATAAATAAACCTTACATCATATTAGAAGATAGTAAATGTGGGACAGAAAGAAACTCAGGTATATGGGGTCACAAGAGTGCCCAGGGAGGTAGTTCAAATTTAAATGGACAGTGAGAACTTGGGCTAAGGGGTGTCCACAAGGAGCATCCAGAACCAAGTAGAGCAGGCTTCCAGCAGATTCCAGGAAAATGCTGAAAAAATGGTAGATTCTCTCCCCATAAAAAAATGAATTGAGAAGCTGACAAAGAGACAAGAAAAACTCCAGAAAAACAGCTCTACCAGAAAGGAAGCGAATCACAGTCCACACCTCCTCTCATTCCTCTCTGGTGAGTGCTATTTACAGTTATGATCAAATACACTGATTTAACCAGTAATCAGTATACTCTGCCTGGAGAGGAGGCAGGGAGTTGGGTGGGTCTGAGAGCTGAATCCTCATCTCTTCACAAGAAAGATAATAGATAACAACCAGAAATGAAGAGATATGAAGATATTATTTAGAAAGATAGACATAGATAACAGGAAAAACATTTGAAGCCTTAGTAAGCAGGATGTGAGTTCAGAGGAATGAGCCAGGGGCTATTTGTCATTTTTAGAATTTACTCATTCTCATATTCTCCCCCATTCCCACAGTACAGGGGATTGAACCCAGGGCCTTTGCACTGAGCTACATCCCTAGCCCTTTTTATTTTGAGACAGGATGTTGCTAAGTTACCTAGGCTGGCCTTGAACTTGTGGTCCTCCTTCCTCAGCCTCCTGAGTGGCTGGGATTGCAGGTGTACAGCACCACAACCAGACTATTTGGTCTCTTGAAACATCGATACAAATAAAAATTAATAAAATGGGGGTGGACAAGGAAGTAGCTCAGTGGGTTGGGGATGTAGCTCACTGGTAGAATGCTTGCCTGATATGCAGGAGATACTGGGTTCAATCCCTGGTACAAAAAAAACACAAAACAGAATGACAAAATATAGATAGGTATATAACTTAGAATTCAACCTATGCTCATGATTGGGTAAATTTCACACGCACACACACACACAGTAACCAGACATGGTGGCACATGCCTTGCAAACCCAACACTCAGGAGGCTAAGGCAGGAGGATCACTGTGAGTTCAAAGCCAGTCTGGGCTATGTATTGAGTTCAAAGCCAGCCTGAATTACATAGCAAGACCCTGTTGAGATAAAGAAAGGAAAGAAAAAAAAGAAAAGAAAAGAAAAGAAAAGAAAAGAAAAGAATGTCCTCTTCCTGGAAATTCTCAGAATCTCTTGCTTATGAATTTAAAGTTGTGCAAGAATGTGAGTCGATTGTACCAACAGCAACCGTGTAGTTCTTGAGTAATTCCTAGAGAAACAGGGGAGGAGGAAGGGAGAAGAAACTTGTAGAGAAGGTACATGGTTCAGGAGGGCCCAAAGAGCAGTGAGTGGAGGAGATGCTGCCAGTAGTCTCAGGAAGGAGTGAGGGGATTGGGGGCGGTCATTACCCTGAAGAAGGTAGCTGAGCTGCAGCAGAGGGACAATGGGGGGGCACATCGGAAGGCCAAGGAAGGACAGCCCTGTCTTCTGGGGACCTGATGACAGCCAGCAGGTGAGACCCAGGCCAGGCCTGGCCAAGAAGCTCCACTTACTCTGGAGAGGGAGGCCTCCCTTACAGGATGGGTCTGCTGCCTTTCCCAGGACAACAGATGCCAGGGAAGATGTTCTCACATGGTCTGGCACCCAGGCCGGAAGAAAGAGGGGGTCTGTTTCCCCACTTTTATCTCCCCCTTCCCTGCCTAAAGCCTGTCTG